GAGTCAAGGGGAGCACCCATGTCCCCAGGGCGGGTTCCCACGCAGAGGACCCGAACTTCCCTAGGTCACGAGCGGAGTGACCCTGCTCAGTTCGCTCTCGGAGGGGGGAGAACTGTGACGTAGTGGGGGTAATTGCTGGGCTGTGGTGACCCCTGCTGTCTGGAGCAAGACCCAGCAGGGAAAACCTGGCTAGGCAGAGATAAGGCCAAACTGGTTGAACCAGTGGCCAGACACCCCCCATGGAGAGGAACAAAGGTAAGCCGCCCTCAATTCCACTGGCTGGTGCAGTCTGTTTGTGCCATTTCGGGGTGCAGGAGACGGGGAACCCCCAACGCGCCGTCACACCTGGGTGGTCGACAAATGCCTTTGATGTCGACACCCGTGCGTCCAGACTATCGCGCTGATCAGCTGTTTGTCGGCTCAGCGCGGCAGCCATGTAAATTTAAATGAAGCGGCGATTATTTAAATTGCCGCTTCATTTTCCTATGTCTGGTAGCCTAATCTACATGCCTCTGGCGACAGAGGCATGTAGCTAGACGTACCCCAAGTTTCCTGTTATTGTTTCTCCCTCTTCACTAAGCAATGGGCTTACCCTGTCCTTGGTCTTCCTCTTGCTTCTAATACGTTTGTAGAATGCCTTCTTGTTCCCCTTTATGTCTCTAGCTAGACTGAGCTTGTTTTGTGCCTTTGCTTTTCTAATCTTGCCCCTGCATACTTGTGTTATTTGCTTATATTCATCCTTTGTAATTTGACCTAGTTTCCACTTTTAATATGGCTCCTTTTTAATGTTTAGATCATGTAAGATCTCCGGGCTAAGCCAAGGGGGTATCCTGCCATATTTTCTATCTTTCCTATGCAGTGGAATAGTTTGTTTTTAGGCCCTTACTAATGTCCCTTTGAAAAACTGCCAACTGAATTCAGTTGTTGTCCCTCCTAGTCTTGCTTCCCATGGGAGCTTAACTACCAGCTCTCTGAGTTTACTGAAATCTGCCTTCCTGAAATCCATTGTCTCTACTTTGCTGTTCTCCCTTCTGCCCTTCCTTAGAATCACAAACTCTGATTTCATGTTCACTTTCACCCAAGCTGCCTTTCATTTTCAAATTTTCAGCCAGTTCCTCCCTATTTGTTAAAATCAAATCTAGAACAGCTTCCCCCCAGTAGCTTTTTCAACCTTCTGAAATAAAAAATTGTCTCCAATGCAGTCCAAGAACTTATTGGATAGTCTGTGCCCTGCTGTGTTAATTTCCCAGCATATATCTGGATAGTTGAAGTCCCCCATCCCCAACAAATCCTTCAGCGGAGGTGGAGTTATTAGGGAGACCAGAGAGCTCTCCCTGTCGGCATAGACAGCCTTCACCAGACATGCTGCAGCGATGCAGCTGTGCCAATGTGGCACTTCTGGGGTGGACTAGATCTAAGTCCGTGCAAAATATTTGCTTTATTGTACAGAGCGGCTGGCCCAATGTTGCTCGGCAGGTCAGTGGCACAGGAAGGAACAGCCCCCAGACGTCCTCGTTCCAAGACCGTCCCTAACAAGCCGAAGCTGCGAGTCGTTGAATGCTGGTCTCACCATGGTTCAGTTCTCTCTTGCTCCACAGTGAAAGGAAATTAGTGAGCATGCAGTAGTAGCATTTTGCTGGCATGTCTTGCTAATGCGCATGAGGAAAAGTCCCACAGCGCCAGTGAAAATGTTCCAAGACATAATCACAAATGAATAGGAGAAATCATTTCCCTGGCTTGCAGCCAAGACTCGCTGGCCAGGCTACCTCATGGGAGTGCATCTGAACACGTGAAAGCAGCAGCGGCCAACGTGGATGCTGATGAAAACCAGGGTGATGAGGACATAGCTGGTGAGGATGGCCTTGATGGCGTATCTCGTCTCAGGGTCAGCGAGGGTTCGCTTGCGTTCGCCCCGGAACCCCACAGAGAGCCGGAAGCCTGCAACCATTTGCCCTTCACGCCAGCAGTAGTAAATGCCCCTGTCGTCCAGCTGAGTAAATCGAATGTGCAGGTGGTTGCCATGGTCGATGAAGACCCGCATGCTTTTGTTGACCCCGGTGAGGAATCTGGTGCGGTACAGTCGAGTGGAATCTTTGTCCCATGCCACTGCATGCTCTGGCCTGGCTCCGGGGCAGGCAATTATCAAACCGCTCCCAAGCTGTTGCTTGTGGAACTGAATGGGGACTTGGGGCAGCCAGGGCTTCTGGCCAACCTCTGCAATGAGGTTGGAGATGGACACCACTCCTTCCTCGGGGCCCTTTCTCTGCACACAAGGCGTCAGGCAGCTTCGGATGACAACCTCGGGCTTCCTGAGCCGGATGGTGCCCTGGAAGCGCCTGGGGACAGATTTTGAACCACAAGACACCATGTCGGTGGTGACTGTGCGGTACCTGGGGTAGAGGTAGGCGCTCTTCACGTAGCAGAGGCCAATTCTCCGTTGCTCACCTCTCACCCCACAACGGTCACACTTGGTCCAGTCCCAGAAGGTGGTGAACATGCTGAAATGCTCTTCTTTCTGATCCTTCTGTGGGTGCTGGCTCCTGTCCTCAAAGGCCACAGTGATGCCCTTGGTTGGTTGCACGTCCACATCATAGCCATAGAAGAAGTCCCCTTGCTTGGTACCACAGAGATAGTGGCCCGAATCCTCCACCTGGGCCCGGAAGACGATGAGACTGAACATCCTAATGCTGAAGCGCTTCAGCATGTCGCTGCCCACACGGATGTGGCCTGAATCCAAGAATATGGTTCCATCGAAGTCTGTTAAGACCTTGGTCTGCCGGCTGCCCATGCTCTTCTGGAAGTACCAGACGACTGAGCTGACTTTTTCAGGCTTGCAGTTACAAGGCAGCTCGAAACTCATGTCAGCCAAGTAGGCGGCATTGTCAAACATCAGGAAGGCCGGGCAGGGTGTTTTCTTGAAGACGTCTTCCTTCTCCATGACTGCAAAGGCATGGAGAACACCTGCCCCCCCAAGGAGAAAGGCAATTCCAAGCAGCCTCATCTCGGCTAGCCCGTCTAGCTCCTTGGTCAAGCAGCAGAATGCAATGGCATCAAACCACCCTGCACACTCAGTAGCAAGGATTTAGCCAGTCTAGCTCCTTGGTCAAGCAGCAGAATGCAATGGCATCAAACCACCCTGCACACTCAGTAGCAAGGATTGCAAGAGCCTTTGGTCGCCAAGGTGAACAGAGCTGGGGCAATGACGATTTCAAACGGCTCGCTATGGAAGGGCGGGTGTTGTAGCTCAGCTCAGCAGCAGACTCTCCCCTCTAGAGCTGCTTTGATTAGTGGGAAAGGAGGACAGCAGCCGGGAACGTCTTCTCATGCCTAATGCTTGCTGGGGAGGCTCCTGTAAAACATGAGCATTACTGAGAACTTTGTTTCCTTCCTGCACTGAGGGTTCCAGGTTGCCGACTGGGCGCTCAGAGACATGAGCTCTAGAACCTTTGCTTTTTCTAGAATGTGAGCCCAGCCCTGAGAACGGGAGTTCCGAAAATGACGTGGACACAAAAGCAGCCGCCTCTGAGTGCAAGGCCACAGCCAGGCAGGCAGATCACTTGTACACCGCCCAGCTGTGGGAGGGCCTCGTGGGCCCCAGCGTTACCCTGTGGGCAGCAGGGGGCCAGGAGTAAACCCATTTGATTCTGGAGAGATTTTCTCTTCACTCCGGTTTTATTTTCCCTTCTTATATGGTGGGTCCCAGGGTAGGCCCAAGAAGCCCCTTCAGCAAAATAACAGAACCCCAGTGCAAACATAAATGCTTTCCCTGCCTCGTCTTCTAGGGGTTACCCTGCTACACTGGCTCCTAGTTGTCAATGTCTCCTCAAGCAGTGTTATCAGTTTCCTTCCCTTTAGGGAGGGAACTGCCCTCCAGCCAGGAGCTTTTCCTTCCTCCCTCTGCCTGCCCCTGCCTCTCATTACTCCCCTCCCCTCTCTCACCAGGTCGCTGGCAGTCAATGTGCTCACGGGTCTCTGCTTAACTTGAGGTCACCCTCCTTCAGCTTGTAGGGAGCAGGAGCTTCGTCATTCTAGGGCGGACAGATCAGCTGGCTGTGAACACTGATGGGGTACGTCTACACTAGCTCGTTAGTTCGAGCTAGATAGGGTAATTAGGGCAAGCGGAGTTGCAAATGATCCCGGGATTTAAATATCCCAGGCTTCATTTGCATGTTCCCGGGCGCCACCGTTTTTAAATCCCCCTTAGTCCTGACTCCGTGCCCGCAGCTACACGCGGCATGGAGTAGGTAGTTCGAATTAAAGACCCTAATTCGAACGACCGGTACTCCTCATTCCACGAGGAGTGCATTTCTGAGTCTCAGGGGTGTATTCCAGCTGAATGCAAGTCCAAACTAGCCGATGGACAATGCCCAGGCAGGGCTGAGACAGCGACATTGCTGCAGGGGCTCAGCACCCAGACCAGCCTTAACACACCATAAAACCCTGCAGTCAGTAAGGTCTGCCGAGGAGCTGACCCAGCACAATTACAGACTTTACGATCACAGAGCACCAGGCTACACAAATGCAAGGTGGCCCACTTTTGCAAAGGGGGGAATACTGCACGGAGCCTGTGACCCGAGGAACCACCACCTGGCATGCGGAAACCACGTCATCTCCTTTGCGGATCGCTCTTGCTGGACTCTCGTCTCGCTGCGAGCAATCCCCCCAATGAGACTTCTGTAAAGTTCATAGCGCCCCCTAAACAGGGCCCCCCTGGCACTCCATAGCCAATTACTCCTCGGTCGACAACCTCTTCTGTGTTACTATCTGTACGACCTGACAGTCTCTCAAGACTTGAGGGGCAGCCCATGAAACATGACACCTCAGGTGAGTCATCTGGACAATCCAAGACCTACCATGCAGCAGCTCACTCCTTCTGACGGCCTCAGATATGTGATGATGTTTAATGCTACATCAGGTCCTGTGATATCTGTGCCTGGACTGACTTCCCAAAGCAACCCCTCTGGCTTCCTGATGCCACCTGCCGTCCCTTCCCAGCCCTGCTCTTATAAAACCTAAAACCCTTGAGTTTGTAACTGAACTATCAGAATCTGAAGCCCACGATTCCATAATAACTATAGTGGATGAATTCACCAAAATGGCCCATTGTATACCATTTGTACGTCTCCCGTCTGTGGAAATCACCGATGTACATTCCACGTATCTGCCGCAGGTTTTGTCTAAGTAGCGGGTTAGATAGGCTGCAGATAAGGCTGCACACAGGAGCGGCCTGAGGCGGGCTGTGGCAGCTGGCACCCCAGGAAGAACGTGCGATCGGCGCCCCCGCCTGCACGGCCACCAATGGAGTGACGTTATCATGGGGTGCCCTGGGCGCCCTGTTGAAGGCGGCGCCCTAGTCGGCCTCTAGTCACAGGCCGTCTCTGGCTGTACACACGAACCTTCCACACTTGGCTCTCTTACCTGTTTAATCGTTACAGTCCAGCTGCTCATGTCTCTTGCTGACCAAGAACTTGAGGCCAGGGAAAAGGAAAGAGGGGGTACGTCTACACTACAACGTTAATTCGAACTAAGCTAATTCGAACTAACGGATCCAGACTAAAGAACTAGTTCGAATTAGCGTTTTGCTAATTCGAACTAGCATGTCCACATTAAGTGGACCCTGAACCAGGCTTAAGGATGGCCGGAAGCAGTGCTGGCAGGGCATCAGAGGAGGACTTAGAGCATGGAGATGCTGCCTCAGGCTAGCCGAGGGCTGCGCTTAAAGGGTCCCGACCCCCACCCCGGACAGACAGTTCTCAGGGGTGCCCCGCTTGCAAAGCAGTCCTGGCTTGGATTGCCCGGACTACCCACCACAGGGCATATCACACCACTCGGCCATCAGCCCGGCTGTACTTGCCGCAGGCTGCCATCTGGGGAGAGGGGGCAATTGGGGGGCTGCAGGAGAGCTTCCACCCCCAGAAGCCCGCAGAGCCAGCCCAGTCCTCCCCATCAGGGGCGCGTACCCCATTCCTCCCTCACCTCCTTCCACTTACCCTTCCCTAGCCCCTCTTCTTGATGTACAAAATAAAGATAACGTTTCTTCCAACATTGACTCTGTCTTTATTGAAAAAAACTGGGGGAGACTGGGAAAAGGAGGTGGGAGAGGGGAAGAGAAAGGCTGGGAGAGGGGAGGGCAACTAACATGATAAGGGGTTGGGAACAGGTCCCATATGAAGAGAGGCTAAAGAGACTGGGACTTTTCAGCTTAGAAAAGAGGAGACGGAGGGGGGACAGGATAGAGGTTTCTAAAAGCATGAGTGGGGTGGAGAGGGTGCATACAGAAAAGTTCTTCATTAGTTCCCATAAAGAAGGACTAGAGGACACCAAAGGAAAGGAATGGGTAGCAGGCTTCAAACTAGTAAGAGAAA